TAGATTTTGAAAAGGAGAGGAGACAATATAGAACTCTGCAGCATTCCACAAAGGGGCCTACAAATAATCTCTCCCTCCTAACCAACCATGACTTCAGCTGTCCTCAGAAAAGGACGAGAACCATCAGGAAACAGGGTCTCCAAGCCCCAACCCACAGAGCCAGCTCAAAAGGGTTCCAAGGTCATTGGAATCAAAATCCCTCAAGAGATCAAGGAACACAAGGGTGGATGCTTCACCACTGTCCTGGCTGTGCGACAGGTCATCTGCAAGAGCAACCAACGCTTGGTTACCAATATCTGATCTCCTGCAACCGCCAGTGTGATGCAAAATACTTCTTTGTTTGTTGGTGTCAGCCCAATTTTCCATTCTGTTAAGAACAATTTGACTATTATTCCTTTTTTTCTGATTAGTTTTCTTTGACTCTCTGTTTTTATTATCCTCATGTTTTCATAAGGATTCTTGTTTCTTCTACATCTACACTGATGTCAGATGTTGGAGTACATGAGTCCAAGGTAGAGCAATTCGTCACCCTTCCCCCAACCTCTCTCTACTGCAATAGACTGCAATTCCAAGCATATAATTTATCTCCAAGAAGACCTCTTGACCCTAAATTTACATTGGAGACATTGTCCAATTGATTATATCCATCCGCAGATAGAAATGTAGGTCATATATGTAAGATGCTAACTCTGGAGCTAGAATTTGCCACCTTTGAAAGTTAATGGCTGTTCAATCATCAATGATACCACTCATTCACCTTTCATTTCTTCACTTAACCAGTCTTTCTGATGCTGGAGAAAGTGATTTCATATACTGTACATGTAGGCCTAAGTTCTTTTCTTTTTTCTTTTCTTTTTCACAGTTTTTCACTTTAATTTTTATCATGGATGGCAAGGAAGTTAAACAGTTAAACAGTTAACCCCCTCCCCATTCCCCTCCTTTCCAGTTGTGTGTGTCTTCCTTTGCCTGTTCAGATACCTGGTAATACCTGGTAAGCCATGGCGCCCACCTTTGTGGAATCTTCTCCGCCCTGAAATGAGATTAGCTCCATCCCCCTTAACATTCCGCAAGTCCCTCAAGATCTGGCTATGTGATCAG